TCACTCAGAGCTCCGAGGGGGAGGAGCCGGTGGCAACTGCACTTTGTCAGGTCCTCCAGGGCCTTCAGCCTGGACCCTGCTGAGCCTCACCACCCCAGGTGTGCTCCGGGGCCCTGCAGCTTGGTAGTGATGCCGAGCACCCCCTGCTCCACCACCCAGTCAGAACCTGAGTTTCCACAGAATCCCTGGAGATGCCTAAAGATGAGGACATCTCTCTCCCGCCCAAACCAGAACACACGGGGTGGGGGGCAAACCCCCTCCAGGACTTTCTTGGCCCACTGCAGGAGAGCGGGGTGGGGGAGGACCAGTGGATGGGGCAAGGGGTGTAGAGGGCAGGGCCTCCACGTGGAGGCCAGTCACAGGGAGCTGCTGCTGCTGCTGTTTAGACTTCCTGACATGAGATAAATTATCTACAATAGGTACAGAAAGAGAAGACAAAACCTATGTGCACCTCTAGTCCCCCACCACCAAACACCATCCCTGTCCGTCTTCCTAGATGTTTGACACAGTCCTCTATCAGGAACGGAGTCGTGAAGATACAGCGACTGCTGTCGGGTGTGCTTTTCCTGACATCAGCCTGGGATGCCATCTCAGCAGGGCGGGAGCCATGGCCCTGGGCAGCTCTCTCCTCCTCTGACACGGGAGGCCTGGGCCTGCTCCCCTGCAGATTTCCCTCTGTGTCTGACTGTTGTAATAAAACCAACCATGAGCGCATCCCCGTGACGAGTCCTGTGTGTTCTCTTAGTGAATTGTGGTTTTGGAGACCCCAAAGCAGCTGCCCCCAAGAGAACCTGTTACCTCCTGTAGCCACAGGGACCAGGTTTCTGAAAATGAAACCCAAAGTCTAATCTGGTGGGTGTCTGCATCATCATGCAAGTTGAATTTGCTGCCTCTGTGGGTCTCTGGGTAAATTTAGGGGATTGTTAGAGAAAGAATGGGCCTCAGCCATTAGGATGGGGATCTGTGGGCAAACTGGGGTGGAGCTGGGGATCTTTAGGTGCAGAATCCCCAAACATGTGGGTGAGCAAGTTTCCCAGCACCCCTGAAGCACCCTGGGGTGGAGAGGAAAAACAAAGGAACCGGCCCCCTGGACAGGTAGTGTCCCATGGGATGGCAGACCTCACGGGCCGGGCCAGGAATCTGCACTGACTCGGAGAGGCAGGGTGGTCTCGGGCACTGTGGGGGTCTGTGCAGAGAGGTGCATTCTCATAGCTCAGGGCCCCTTGGCATTTTAGATGGCATCCCTTGGGCTGGGACACTCTCCTTCCAGACTAGAGACAGGCTCTGCATAAGCCCCAAAGCTCTGGTTTGGAGACAGGTCCAGCTCAGCCCCACACTTTCTGCCTGTGACTTTGCTCAACAGTCATTCTGTGACTCCTGCCAGCTGGACTGCTGGGGCAGCTCTGGGCTCACCCACACTACCCCAGGACAGGAAGCTTCCATGGGTCCAGTGGCAGACACCCGCTCTCTTGTGGGTTTGTTCCAAGTGCCAAGGTTGATTCTCAGTCCTGAATGCTGTAGAAACAGACTGCACAAGGATGCTTTTCTCTCAATTTGATCTTGGATCCAAGTCTCACAAGTTGATCCCGTAACTCTGCTGCCCGCAGGGCTACAAAAGCCCACAGTCCTCTGGCTGGGAATGAGATATTCAGTTTGACAGTTCAGGCAGGTGACGTTTCCTTCCTGGTCCCCAGCCCCTGCATAAAGAGGAGGTTTTGAGCTGGCAGCGACACATCCAGGTTGCACAGCTGGGCTGAGCAGACGGAGGAAAGGTAAAGCCTCTGGGGACCTGGGACTGTATCCGAGGGCAAGGAAGGCAGACTCTTAGGTAATCAGAATCAATGAAGCCAACCAGGTGGGGGCTTCATGGGAGAATGATGGCTCGAAACCACTGAAGTCGGAGTCACTGGGCAGACTCTAGCTTCCCAGGGGTGGCAGAAAGGCTGGCTCTGGTGCACAGTGGTCTCGCCCTCTGGACTCCTGCAGGTGGACCTAAGGAGTCGACTGGCTGCAACTGGGGATGATGGAGGCCTGCTGGATGCTGGGGCTGGCCCTCTGCCTCCCGCTGGGGCCTCTTGCAGGTGAGGGGCCACTCTGGGACAGACCTCTGCCCTCCGGTGCTCTCCCCTCCATACTGTAGTCCACTCAGCAGTGTGGGTCAGGTCTGGGATGCTTGGCTGATGGCCTCCCCTTCCCTTTGCAGGGGCCAAGCCAGTGCAGGAGGGGGCAGGTAAGCTCTTCCTTCATTTACATCAATAACTGTGGGTGGGGGTGGAAGCAGTGGTTGCTGGGGCCAGGGCTTCTTTACCAGACAGACATGATGGGAGGCCTGGCTCAGCTGAGAGGAGGTGGGTCACTGCCAGCAGGCCCTGCCCAGCAGCCTGGGAACACACCTGGCCAATGAAGCCCCGAAATTCCCACCCTCAGGCCTGGGATTGGTCCGGGCCCTCCCTCAAGTTCAAACTCAGTTAGGTATTATCTGGGTGTCTTTGCCCAAACTCTAGGACCAGGAAGCTCTGCTCTCCTCTGAACCCCTCCCAGGACACTGCCCAAGCCCCTACAATCCTACCAGCCAGCTCCTCCCAGTTCAGCACCTCCCAGAGTGAGGGTGGCCTCCCCTCCCCTCCCCCCCCCTCCTCCGTCTCAGGTCCTCATCCCTCCCCTTTCTCTGACTCTTCCTCTGTCCCTAGACCTGGCACCCTTAAGATGCAGGGACACTGGCCCCTGTTCCTAGGATGATCAGGGGCAGCCTGGGCCCTGCTCCAGGCCAGAAGGCCCCGCCACTGCAGGTGCTGCTGGGCTGTCTACCTGCCCCAGAGGGGTCTCCAGGCAGTGGGCAGCCCCTGAGGTGGCCTCCTGTCTCTCAGACCCCTATGCTGAACCTCCGGCCCTGCCCTACTGGCCCTTCTCCACCTCTGACTTCTGGAACTACGTGCAGTACCTGCAGAGCCTGGGTGCCTACCCACAGCTGGAGGACCTGGCCCGCACCTTCTTTGCCCACTTCCCCCTGGGGAGCACCCTGGGCTTCCACGTCCCCTACCAGGAGGACTGACGCCTGCCTGACTGCACTGCCCTTGCCTTGGGGTGACCCATAGCCATGGTGGGGTGGGGGTCTGGTGGCTTCACACCAGTAAACCTCCCACTGAAGAGGCAGCACAGGCCATGGGGTGCCACAGGCCAGGGACACACTCTGACCCACCCCACAGCTGCACACTGCTCTATTGTCTCCCCAGCTAACCTGGCTGGCTCTGATCCCTGGGGACTCTGCTTTAATAAATGTCTGCACACTTTCATCCACGGAGTCGCCACTGTGTCACCCCCTCCTCCAGTTCTCTCCATAACCCTCAGATTGCCGGTGAGGAAACTGAGGCAGGAACAGAGGCTCGGCCTGAATCGTTAAAGCCATTCAGCTGGTCAGAGGAGCTGGTTCCAGCCCCAGCAGGGGACACGGAGTTGGGCAGCAGTCAGCCCAGGGCAGGTGTCCACACTTCACACAGAGCACACTCTTGAGGGCAGCAGGGAATGAGGACACGTGAGCCCATCTGTGAGGGGAGTCAGGGCCCAGGTTCAGGCTCCGAGGCTGAGGAGGGAGGGGTTTGTGGCCCTGGGCAGTCCTGTGGGAGTGGGAGGGTGGACAGGCAGCGCAGGAGTGCCTCAGGTCCAGCCCCAGTGCAGTGAGACCCATCTGTGCAAGGTGTGCAAGCCAAGAGGACCGTGAGGCTCACACCCAGTCAGGGAAGAAAGCCAGCCAGTGGCAGCCCCCTCAGTGCCTCAGGGGACACACTCTAACCTGGCATCTGAGGCTCCTCTGCCCTGAATCCAGTCCCTGTCCACTCAGGCCAGGCTGGCCCCTGTCCAGGCCACAATACCCTCACATCTCTGCTCTGTCCCTTGGCCTCCACAGCCCCTCCCAACCTCCATGTCCACCTACTGCTGAAAGTTAAGGAAAAGATGATTCAAGGACACTAAAGGCGGGTAAGAGACTCCATTCAGGACTACCAAGACAGGGGCAAAGGCCTGTGGGGCCTCCCAATGAGAAAGACTGCGTTCAACTCCAAGGGCAGCAGCAGTGGGGGTGGACAGCAAGGAGCAGGCTGGGTGATGGGCGGAAAGTGACTGAAGGTGGCACAGTGCATCTTGCTAAACAGGACTTGGGGAAGGAGGCCAGGGAGCTCAGATACCCACGGGTGTGAGGGCGGAGGAACCCCATCAGATGTCGGGGTGCTCACATCTGGCTGCGCTGGCTTAGCAGGGCTCTTTGCTAAAATTGGGCTTTACAGACGTGCAGAGCTGGGCCTCAGACGAGGAGGCGGCTGCACTCTGGGCAGCGGACCAAGTCGAGGCCAGGCGCCTCCTGCTCCCTCTCGGCTCTGGTCTCTCCCTCCTTTCCTTCCCTACCCCCTTTTCTCCGTCACAAATTGTGGCAAAACAATACAACATGAAATTTCCACCTTAACCAGATTCAAGTGTCACCAGGCACGTTCCCGGCGCCTCCAACGGGACACCGTGTCTTTAGGTGACCGGCTTATTTCAGTAACACGATGTCCTCGAGGCTGGCCCTCGCTGACCGCGGGGGAACGTGCCTCCTGGGTGGCACTGCGCCCAGGGGACAGGCCCGTTCCGTTTGTGCCTTCGCCCACGGCGCGGCGCTCGCAGGAGTCCGCTTCCCACCGGGGACGCGCTCCGGAGGGGGCTCGGGGCGGCCCTGTGCGGTATTCCGAGGACTCGGGGATGTCCTCCGGTCGCCGCGAGGTCCCGCCTCCGCGGGCAGTCCCAGAACGCGGACGCGGGTGGCGCGCGGCGGCTGTGAACGTCGCCGCGCGTCCCCGAGCCTGGCGTCCGCATCCTTCTCCGGGAAGAGCTGCCGTGCCCGGCCCGCTCCACGTCGGGCTTCGACGTCCAAGAGCGCCCCGCTCCCTCCACCCGTCGGCTGCGACGCAGCCTCCGGCTCCCGGCGCCCTCCCCGGGCACGCAGGTCGGCGAGACCAGCCCAGCTCCCGATGGCGCGGCACGAAGCAAACCCCGCCTGACCGGGGCCCGCGGCGGGCACCACCGAGTCGCGGTCCTCCAGCGTCTAGACCTGCCGGGTGGGAGCGCCGGAAGTAGGCGCGGCGAGCCGGAAGTGGGCAGAGCGCGACGGCCCGAGATGAAGCCGGCGGTGGACGAGATGTTCCCCGAGGGCGCCGGTCCCTACGTGGACCTGGACGAGGTGAGGTGGGAGCGTCGGCGTTCTGGCCTAGCGTAGGGGCGGCTGCCGGAAGGCGGGAGCTGGTTCCCCGCCTGGCGACGCCCGCGCGTCTTGGGGACGAGCCTGGCCGGGGCCCGCGGGGTGGGTACCGGAGGGAGGAGAGAACGCAGGGCCAGATGGTGGAGCGGCACGGAGCGGGCGGGTCCTGCGCATCCCACTCCCGGGGCCCCGAACCCAGCTCCTGTCAGGTTTTAAGGCCCCTGCGGGAGGCCTCAGGCTCCGATTTGCTAGGCGGCTGGTCACTTAGCAGAGTTCGGAGTTGGGTTTGGAGTGGGAGAGTAGGAAAATGGAATTAGAAAGGAAACTTGAAGAAGGTCTGAATAAGGCCGGTGGGATTTACGTGGTGGTGTCTGCGTGGCTTCCTGTAGCGTTGCGTTGGGGAGGCTGGCTGAGAAGGGGGGAGTCTTGGAACCTTGGCAGCAGCCTGAAACGGAGCACGGAGGCGTTTGGCACTTAAGAGTTGAGCACACACCTTCGAGGGTGTAGGGACCAGAGCAGGAACAGGCTCCTGTGGCCAGCCATCCAGACAGCTACCATCAGAGGACCCTGCACTGATCCTTCCCAGGCGACTAAGCAACGGGCAGAATCCTGAGTGCATTCTATTGCCCAGCGGTGGCAGTGACCTGATTTTGCCACCAGGAGGAGCTTCAGCTGTGGGAGGCTCTGAGGGCACACAAGGGCCAGGGCAGGTCAGCTTCCAAGGGAAATGGTTGCATTCTCAAAAGGGAGGGGTCCAGAATAGTTGCCAGACTGGGGTTGCACATGCTTGTGGTCTCTGTGCAGTGTCCAGGAGGGGACTGGAGGCTGAACTTGAGGTCCACAGGTGAGTAGTGGCACACAGGGCAATGGGAATTCTCTTTTTGAAAGAAAGGGAAAAATTAAGGAATGTAGAATTTTAAAAACTGCTCCTTGAATTCCCCCTTCACACACATTCTTTATTTGCAACTAAAATTCTTAACTCCACCCTGAGTACTTGCCTGTCACCCCTCACCCTGTTCCTGTTTCCTGGAGGTATGGGATGCTATGACAACTCAAAGCTGTTTTGGGGAAAGAGCTCACATAACTTGCCTTTCACTCCCCAGGCAGGAGGCAGCACTGGACTCCTGATGGACTTGGCAGCCAATGAGAAAGCAGTCCATGCAGACTTCTTTAATGGTAAGGGTGCTGGGATTCTGCATGCCTGGTTTTATTTAAAAGTTTTTCCTGTAAGTTAATACAGTGGGACGATCTTGTGACCTGAATAATTAGGATCATGGAAGAGTGAAGCCAAGACACTGCTGTTCTCAGAGTACAGTGCAGAAATGATCACACTGGCTGTCGGCCACATCTGGAGAAGCATGAAATTGCTTCCTGTCTCACATGCCAGGGCCTGAGATTGAGTACGTGGCATGAATGTTAGCACATGCTAACGGCCAGTTGTGGCTGCCCTGTCACCCTGGACAGGTTCTCTCGGGTGGCTGTACTCTCCTGATCTTCCCTCCCTTCTTCCTTTCCCATACTTGTCTGCCCTTGGCTGTCTTTGCAAGGAGCAGCCACACTCCGGCTTCAGCCCTTCCCAGTCTTTGAGTCGGGACGAGGACACACTTCATCTTGTTTCAGAACTTTTCATGGTAGCTACCCAGGAAGTTTTACCAAACACACTGAAAGCTGACCTCTCATGAACCTTCAAGTGTGCTAGAGGCCATGTTTCTCTTATTCCTCTGGTTTCTGAAGGCTTTGTCCATACAGGTTATTTGGGCCCTTACCAAGGGTTCAAACAGAGGAAACATAACATACATTTCCTGCTCAGAAGGGTAAGTGAGATTTCTTTCCTTTTTCTGTCCCGCTGTAATCACATGGTTTTTGTCCCTACAAAGAACTTTTGTTACTCGCTAGTAGCAGCTGGGGTGTGATCTTGCCACGTTGGTGTCTGCCTTTACAAATAATCCCTGAGTCCATGCTAGTTTGGCTCACTGTCCAGGAGGAGGAACCTTGCTGCTAAATAAGGTGCAGTCTTTCCAGGGGACCTGGCTGCCACCCACTGATATCAGACATCCCATAACCTTGGAGCTGAGCTTTGAGAGCCTCAATAGCCTTTCTCTAAATTCTGTCCAAGGGAACACAAGGTGCGGAAGGGTGGACGCCTTCCAGAGCTTCCTGGGATTCTCACCAGGCAAGGCCGTCTCATTCCTAGTGCTGGCACCATTAATTCACAGTTCAGTGATCTTCAAAAGTCCCTTTTGTCCTTTGCTAGCCTCTTAAATTAGAGATGATTGACTGTGTTCAATGGTCAGTGTTGAGATTTCCAAAGATAGCCCTTGGATTCCAGTGAGAAGGATTTCCAAAGACAGTGGATTCCTGTGCACCTGCTTCTGGGCTCAGGAGCATGTCAGAGTCCTCCTGCAGGCGCTGCCTGTCTTGGGTGGTGGCTGTTGTTGTCCACGAGGAGCCTCTGGCTTCAGTTGAGGTTTCTCCCACAACCCTTTGGCTCGTCAGCTGGGTGGACTTTGGGATCCATTGTCTGCTGGGCAGTGGGTCCTCACGATGAGTGTGACTTGCTCTCTTCCCTGGCTTGTTTCATAGTGCAGTAGAGGAGTTAGACGAGGTGGCAGGCACGGCAGAACTGCACCCTGAGGGCTGGGTGGGATTGCCCTGGAAGGTGTCTCCTTGTGAAGATGTGGAGCAGAGGGATGCTCTGGGGAGAGGGAAGGAAGTGTCTAGAGCAATAGCACCACACAGAAAGGTCAGTGGGCAGCGAGTACTCCCTCTGTGGCCAGAGGAGCTGCCCTTCCCCAAAAAGGCCAGTGCGGGGCCTGCCCCAGCGCTCTGTCTGACCACGTCCTCAGGCCAGGGCCCACAGGAGGGGGCTTAGTTCTTTCTTTTCCCATGGTGAAGGGGATGTTGGCATGAGGTCCAGAACTTGGAAGGTGCACAGAGGAAAGCAGAAGGACAAATTGGCCCTGGCTGTGGTCACCCGGCCAGTGCCTTGTGTGTTTATCCAGCTGCTTCTGGCAGGAATGGGTCTTCGTTGTGTCTTGAACTCACCTCTTCCAGGCCCCCTAAGGCCATTCTCAGTGGCGCAGTCCTTCTGCCACCTTTCTGCAGCCCCTCCGCATGTCACCCTTAGCACAGGTGTCAGTGCAGCTGTGAGGTGGCTGTCAGTGTGCAACACCTGTGTCTTCCTGCGTAAGAGCAGGTTAAAAGCATGTAGAAACCACACTGTCCCCTTGAATTGTGAGCCCTGTTAGCTAAAGCTGAGCATCTGTCGTGGGGAAAGGCCTCTGCCACATCATTTGCTGTCTGTGTCTTCAACTACCTGTAATTAACTTTGAAGTGGGTTTCTGGGATGCTTTCCCTATGTGCCCATTAATGTGGGGTTCTGTTTACATAGATTTTGAAGATCTCTTTGATGACGATGATGTCCAGTGAGTCCGGTCCAGCTGCACACATGGCCATGCACAGCACACCAATCTGCACAGAGGGCGGTGTCAGATGGTTTAGAGACCTCGTGGAGATCACTAGAAGTCAGGACCTGGCCAACCGAGGGTGGGGGACTGTCTTAACCCCCTGGACACTTCATCATCTCCTGTGGAATGGCCTTTGTCCTCACACTTATTAAAAATACACCATCACACGCAGGGCAGTTGTGATTCTTGCATGTCTGGGTGGATGTTGCCGTCTGAGTGTGTGGATTGGGTGCGTGCACTGTGTATCAGCATGCAAGGAGGATCAGACGCTATGTGCTGCTTTTTGGTGGCTGGTGTGCCTCTGGTGTGGTGCCTGCTGGTCACCTGTAGGTGTCCTGCTGCAGCACTCCTGACCCTGCATTTCCTTGAGTGGGCAGAGCCTTACTGCTGCCACCCCCGTTGGTCTGGTCTCTTCCTCCAGCTTCCTCATCCAAGTGGCTTCTGTCACAGACCTGAGGCTTATGACCCAGGGCTCTGTCCCATGGGGACCACATGGGGAAGGCCCAGCCAGTCAGCAGCAGCCAAGCTTGAGCTGTGCAGGGTGGTGGCTCCCAGCCACTCTGATGGAAGGACCTTTTCCTGCAGGGCAGGGAGCAGTGGGTGACCCACACACTGCCAGCGATGATTTAGTTGAAGAATATTTTCTACTAAAGTTAAATGTTCTGAAGGTTCTTGTTACAGTTCTGATAGAAGTGAGAACCTCAATGAAACAGCCTTCTCTAGTGACTCCATGCCAGCCATGAGGGTTATACAGCTGGGCTCTGGAGCCTTGGGCCTGGGGAGGTAATTGGGTGGTCCAGGCAGGGTCACCAGCAAGGCCTTCTGGAGGAAGCACCTCCTTGCCCTGTCCTCAGGCTTCTGCCTCTTCAGAGTCAGGTGGAAATGCCCATCTTCTCCACTGGGGACCAGAGACAAATCTCTGAGCTCTTGGTGCCAGTGGTACTTCAGAACAAGCAGGTTTTAGAAAAAAGACATTATTGATGGTAGAACTCTTCCTGCCTTGACACTGCTTAGAGTCAAGGTGAGAAAGTACTGTGAAAAATGTGCTTAGATAAAAGTCCCTTTGTTTCTCCTGAGGCCAAAGCTGGGCACTCAGGAGCTGGACTGGTCCTTTGCTCAGGATTCAGGTCTCAGCCTAGAGTGAAGGGGACTGAGCCCTCTGTGTGCTTCTGCCACACCCTTCTCAGGAGACAGGCTCAGGCACTGTGAGACCAGAATGCTGTGTATCTTTTCAGGATCTAGTTCTGTGTCTGCACTTGCAGGCCTCCAGCAGCTCCGAGCTTTCCTAGGTGCCCGGTGGATTCTGTGAATCATGGTTACCCTCCCTGGTGAGTCACAAAGTGCTGCTCATAATTATGATTTTAGTGGCTGCTGGGTAATTTCTGAGGGGTGTGAGTGCTTCAGATGGCTGTCACCCTGAGTGTTCAAGAGCAGTCACTTGACTTGTATATAGGTATCTGTGTTTAAGAAATAGCTTGATTTCTTTGTCCCCAGCATCAGGGGGAGCCTCTAGCACAGAAGGTGCTCAGCAAGTATCTGTTGAGTAGATAGAAATAACAGTATATCAATATGCAAGAGGCTTGGAAAATGACCAAGTCCTAGGTCTTTCTGGAGAGAAGAAAATGCCAACCTAGAGAAGTGCTGAGCGTCAGCCCCATGCTGTGCCCCTCCAGACCCAGAGCACCAGCAACACAAAGAGTGCAGCCAGTCCGTGCGTAGCAAGGGCCATGGGGCCCGAGTTTCCATTTGTCCTCAAGCCACACTTGGCTTGAGAGTTCTGCTTGAGCCCCTAACTCAGATCCCAGGGGTGTGATGGTCAGCCTTACCTGAGCAGAAAAGGTCCAGCCAAGTAAGACTGCCCCAGACACCTGACCTGCCTGGGGACACCCACAGGGGGACAAGGCACTTCATGCAACCCACCTGCTGTGCTGCCTGGTCAGGGAGCAGCACAGTAGCTGAGGGTTCCTGGAGCTTGATGCCTGCGGCACAGCCCAGCTGTCCGAGGTGGTCTGATGCGTCTGCCTCGGGCTGTGAAGTGAGGGCAGCAGTGACGTGTTCCCTGTGGGGTGGGCAAGGGGGCTCTGAGTTAATGTGGGCGAAACGGCTTCCGTGGAGTCAGAGTCCCGCGGATGTGCGCTGCTGCTGTGTGCACATTTGGGCACTGCAGGGACTCTGGCCTTCCGCTCGGCTTTCCACTCTGATTTCTCAACCTTGTCGAAAAACCTCTCTGCTCGCCCAGGTCACTCAGAATTCTGGAGGACAAAGGTGGCAGACCCCCTGCCCTTATCAAGAGCTGCCCTCTCCGAAGAGGCCATGAGGGAAATGAGGGGTGGATTTGGAAGGAGTTCCTGAAACAAGGTCACGTGCCTAGAGCCAAAGCGTTGGTGTTTGTCAGATGTTGAGATGCTTGCAAAGGCATGAACGAAGCAATACGGTAAAAAATAATGGGCACAGAGTACTTAAAAAAGTTCATGGAGGAGCCAAGCCAAATGGCCAGTAAGTGTTTGAAGGCGCTCAGAATGACATGCGCCAGGCCAGTGAGGGATGTACACCACCCACCTTGGTGGGACAGGGGTGGCGGGAGGTGTAACAGTCACATGTGCCCCTGCCACCACCCAGCCGATCGAGGTGCAATTGCTGCTGGTAATAGTCATAGGAGATCTCAGTGCCCCCAGTGGCAGTGGTCAGGTAATCCATATGGAAAATCAGCCAGGATCCCTGGCCCTAGGGACATGCAAGCTACGTGAACCCAGCAGCCGTGCACAGTAGTTCACCAACAGCAGCCACTTCCACACTTGGGACAACATGTACCCCTAGTCTTTTCTAAAGAGAGAGCGTAAGGGTGGTAAACAGGGAAGGGCCATGTGCCTGCTGACCTCTCAATACCACCCAACAAGCGTGGAAAAAACCAAGTGAGTAGCTGAGGGATTGATGCCGTGGCCACCGTGGGCTCCCACAGCCAGCCAGTGAGCTGAGGTGTCCACCTGGTCCTTGGGTGGGAAGCAGGGTAGAGAGTTGTGTTGCTTGGCGTATTCATCTGTGGGTTTGTGCACACAGGACACATTGTGTGCAGAGATGTGTGCTCTTAGGTGAGTGTACGTGGGGCATACGCGTACACAAAGCCCTGCAGGTCTCCACCTTTGCAGCCCCCCAGAACCTCCAGCTGTGATCACAGACTTGTGTGTTCAGCTCCGTGTGTATGTGAACGTGTTTCAGGAAGGATTGTGCTTAAGGCCCGTGGAAAGAGCTGTGAAAACCCAGGACACACCGTGGGTGGGTAGGGGCTGGGGAGCAGGTGGCCCCCATCTCACCTGGAAGGAAGCACTTGGGAGAGTGAAGAGGAGCCTCAGGAGAGGGTGTGCTGTTGAGAGGGAGGATGGGGTGGGTGGGTGGCTGGCCACCTGGGATGGGCTGTGCTCCTGAGCAGCAGTTGTCCATCCCAGACATGCAGTCAGCCCCAAGCTGCGATCTTGTACCGTTTTCTTTGCTTCCTTGTTTGCAGCTAAAGCAAAGAAGGCAGGTATGGCCTTCAAGGTCAAGGGCCATTAATTAGCATGTGCTTTGAAGGGGGACTGGCCTCCAGAGCTGTGGGTGGCCTCTGTTCCTGGACCTGGGAAGGGAGTTTGCTGGGGGCAGCCTGTGGCAGACTGTGCTGCAGGTGGGCCTCCTTTCAGCTGGAACCTCCCTGCATCTGAGAGTCTCTGCTCAACTGGGAGTCTGCCAGCCCCTGCCCCCTGGATTCGAGTGTCAGGATGTGGAAGTGGTCGTGGTCTGCAGATTGAGGCCGCCTCGGGCAAGGTGGCTTTGGGGTGGCGCTTTCTCCCCTTGTCCCCTGGTGGTGGCTTGTTTTTTCTTTTTTGTTTTTGGCTGCTTCAACTTCAAAATATATTTTGCTGAACTTAATTTATACTGTCACTTGGAAGGCTCACCTCTGTCCCCAACTGTGCCCAGTGCAGTTACGTAAACGTTGGAAGAACCTGTTAGAACTCTTGCTGAGGCAGAAAACCAGCAAACCTGGAATGAAAATAGCATTTGGAGCAGTTTTGGTTTTTATTTATTTAACATCTTGCCAAGGATCATAAATCCTAAAAGGTGCCATTCACTGAAGCCCATGTGAGCCCCACATCTGCATTCTGTCATGTCATCCTCAGGACATTGCCCAGTGGGTATGTGCTCACTTTGCACATGAGCAGGCAGTGGTGAGACGGCTCCCCAAGGCCGGCCCTGGAGAAGGGCAGTGTCCAAAGAAAACAGGAGACACTTCAAGGCCCAGGCTCAGGCCCAGGCAGTCCCTTCTTGAGTAAGGACTCCAGTAGCTCAGACAAGAGCACGGATTGACAGATGGGATCATATCAAGTTAGAAGCTTCTGCACAGCAAAGGAAACAGTGGAGAGACAGCCGGAAGAACGGGGACAGCCACTCTTGTGACAGCAGCGCTTCCGCACCTCTTCATTGCTGTGACCCAAATACCCCAAGAAGAACAGCAGAGGAAGAGTTCATTTTGGTTCATGGTTTCAGAGTTTCAATCTGTGGTCAGTTGGCTTCGTGGTTCTGGGCCCAGGTGGGGCGGAACATCGTGGTGGAGGGCATGGAGGGGAAGTAGCTCAGGACATGGCACCGTGAAGCAGAGAGAGCTCAGCTCCAACCTGACCTGCCTATAGTTACCGCCCAGTCAGTCCTTTAGTGCCTCCATAACCCAGTCACTTAATATCTGAACATCCTTGCAGGTGAGCACTTGGGGGACACCGAATACAGAAACCATGGCAGAGAATTAGTGTCTGTAATGTAAAAAGAAAGAAAGAAAGAATGCCAACTTAATACCAAAAAGAAAGAAAGAAAAACCCCAGTCAAAATCAGGCAAGTGAACTGAGCAGACACCTCTCAAACGAAGTACAATGGGCAGTAATTTCATACAGATTCATTCAACATCTTTAGCTCTTGGGACTATGCAAATTAGAACCACACTGAGGTTCTGTTCCCCCTCAGTCACCTTGACTGTCTTCAAGGGCACAAACAACAGTGCCTGCTGGCAAGGACACAGGGGAGAGGACCCCTTAGGTACTGCAGTGGGAATGCAAATACAGCCACCGAGGCCGTCAGAGTGCAGGCTCCTCAGAAAGGGCGCAGTAGCATTACCACGTGTGACGCAGTTGACCCTGCCTCCCCATTAC